TCTATGTTTTTGTTTTCATCGTTTTACGGTCTATCGATAGTCTTTTAAAACCAAAAAGGCGTCAGAAAATAACACTCACAAAATAAATGAAACTCAGACTATTTAGTCAAAGAATCAAGCATGAGATATCTGACAGTAAAAAGTTTATCACACCAGTGGTAGAGGTGAGAGGAGATCATATCAAATTTGGCATAAAAACACTCATAATGCAGTTGATTAATTTCTATCACGTATTCATTTATCAAAATAAAAACACAACATTTGTAAATAATTTTTTATTAATCCAGATAAAAATATATATTACTTAAATATTAGAACCACATAATAGATATTTTAATGAAGGTTTTGAACATCAAAAACAAGATTTTATGACGAACCATTAATACTGACAGAGAGTGTAGGATTGAGTCAACCATATACAACCTGTTGTATGACGAACCATTAATACTGACAGAGAGTGTAGGATTGAGTCAACCATATACAACCTGTTGTATGACGAACCATTAATACTGACAGAGAGTGTAGGATTGAGTCAACCAAATACAACCTGTTGTATTAGGAACCATTAATACTGACAGAGAGTGTAGGATTGAGTCAACCATATACAACCTGTTGTATTAGGAACCATTAATACTGACAGAGAGTGTAGGATTGAGTCAACCATATACAACCTGTTGTATTAGGAACCATTAATACTGACAGAGAGTGTAGGATTGAGTCAACCATATACAACCTGTTGTATTAGGAACCATTAATACTGACAGAGAGTGTAGGATTGAGTCAACCATATACAACCTGTTGTATTAGGAACCATTAATACTGACAGAGAGTGTAGGATTGAGTCAACCATATACAACCTGTTGTATTAGGAACCATTAATACTGACAGAGAGTGTAGGATTGAGTCAACCATATACAACCTGTTGTATTAGGAACCATTAATACTGACAGAGAGTGTAGGATTGAGTCAACCATATACAACCTGTTGTATTAGGAACCATTAATACTGACAGAGAGTGTAGGATTGAGTCAACCATATACAACCTGTTGTATTAGGAACCATTAATACTGACAGAGAGTGTAGGATTGAGTCAACCATATACAACCTGTTGTATTAGGAACCATTAATACTGACAGAGAGTGTAGGATTGAGTCAACCATATATAACCTGTTGTATGAGACACCATTAATACTGACAGAGAGTGTAGGATTGAGTCAACTATATATAACCTGTTGTATGAGACACCATTAATACTGACAGAGAGTGTAGGATTGAGTCAACCATATACAACCTGTTGTATGACGAACAATTAATACTGACAGAGAGTGTAGGATTGAGTCAACCATATACAACCTGTTGTATGACGAACCATTAAAACTGACAGAGAGTGTAGGATTGAGTCAACCATATACAACCTGTTGTATGACGAACAATTAATACTGACAGAGAGTGTAGGATTGAGTCAACCATATACAACCTGTTGTATTAGGAACCATTAATACTGACAGAGAGTGTAGGATTGAGTCAACCATATACAACCTGTTGTATGACGAACCATTAATACTGACAGAGAGTGTAGGATTGAGTCAACTATATATAACCTGTTGTATGAGACACCATTAATACTGACAGAGAGTGTAGGATTGAGTCAACCATATACAACCTGTTGTATGACGAACAATTAATACTGACAGAGAGTGTAGGATTGAGTCAACCATATACAACCTGTTGTATGACGAACCATTAAAACTGACAGAGAGTGTAGGATTGAGTCAACCATATACAACCTGTTGTATGACGAACAATTAATACTGACAGAGAGTGTAGGATTGAGTCAACCATATACAACCTGTTGTATTAGGAACCATTAATACTGACAGAGAGTGTAGGATTGAGTCAACCATATACAACCTGTTGTATGACGAACAATTAATACTGACAGAGAGTGTAGGATTGAGTCAACCATATATAACCTGTTGTATTAGGAACCATTAATACTGACAGAGAGTGTATGATTGAGTCAACGATATACAACCTGTTGTATTAGGAACCATTAATACTGACAGAGAGTGTAGGATTGAGTCAACCATATACAACCTGTTGTATGACGAACCATTAATACTGACAGAGAGTGTAGGATTGAGTCAACCATATATAACCTGTTGTATGACGAACCATTAAAACTGACAGAGAGTGTAGGATTGAGTCAACCATATACAACCTGTTGTATGACGAACAATTAATACTGACAGAGAGTGTAGGATTGAGTCAACCATATACAACCTGTTGTATTAGGAACCATTAATACTGACAGAGAGTGTAGGATTGAGTCAACCATATATAACCTGTTGTATTAGGAACCATTAATACTGACAGAGAGTGTAGGATTGAGTCAACCATATACAACCTGTTGTATTAGGAACCATTAATACTGACAGAGAGTGTAGGATTGAGTCAACCATATATAACCTGTTGTATTAGGAACCATTAATACTGACAGAGAGTGTATGATTGAGTCAACCATATACAACCTGTTGTATTAGGAACCATTAATACTGACAGAGAGTGTAGGATTGAGTCAACCATATATAACCTGTTGTATGACGAACCATTAATACTGACAGAGAGTGTAGGATTGAGTCAACCATATATAACCTGTTGTATGACGAACCATTAATACTGACAGAGAGTGTAGGATTGAGTCAACCATATACAACCTGTTGTATGACGAACCATTAATACTGACAGAGAGTGTAGGATTGAGTCAACCATATACAACCTGTTGTATGACGAACCATTAATACTGACAGAGAGTGTAGGATTGAGTCAACCATATACAACCTGTTGTATGACGAACAATTAATACTGACAGAGAGTGTAGGATTGAGTCAACTATATACAACCTGTTGTATGAGACACCATTAATACTGACAAGGAATGCCGTATTAAACTCGAGTAATATGCGAAATATTGTATTAACAAGAAGGTCAAGGACGAATGTTTTACCTGGTCTGGACACATCACTATGAGCAATGAACACAACTCAGTGTTTCCGTATAAGATGTTGGGTGTAGACATTTTGAGTTATTATCAACAAAAAATGAAATATTGCTTGATTGTTTGTTGCCTGTGAGGCAACTAGCAATGAAGCTCGCTTTCTGGTGAATTTGTTTAAAAATACAAACAGCTCGCTTCTTCAGATAGTTCACAAAAACAACCTCTACGTTTAAACGAAAATGTACAGTCCCCGGTCTACACGCAAGATATTACACCAAATACTTTTAAGAGTTGTTGCCCTTGGTCCAATGATATCTTGAAACAAAATACCATTTTACCTCCGTTTTTAAATTTTAATGAGCAAACATTCTCCCTATATTAAGAAACAAAAAAAAATGTTTTCATCGGATGTCAATTTAAAAAAAATGCGTAAAAAAAAAGAACAAAACAAAACAAAAAGCGATTTTAAAAAGACAAACATACATTGCTATAGAAGATGGAATCAATCGAAACTCATTAGATAAAAGTGTTATAAACGAACCACTAAGTACGAACTATTATTGTCATTCGACGAAGCATAGAATAGATTAATCACCTGTACATGGTACATGACATGTCGATATGAAGCACTAATGTACCAGTTAATCACAAACCTATTTCATTGTTGAAGAGTCTACTGGTTCACAGGGCAGTTCCTAGTGTCACACACATGTTGGTCGAGTCATGTCAACTGATAGGTTCGAATGATTTAATGTAACATTTTACACGGAAACTCCATCAGTGTCGAGCAGCCTTATTATGTACTGTTTTATATACATGTAGGTGGTTAGGTAAGCAGAATACAATAATCATGTCTATTTATCGATCTTCATTAGCTCAATCAGCATCTTACAGAGCTAAATACTTCTCTAGAATGAGCTCCAGAACAACCGTACAAAGTTTTGTATGACTACCTTTAAATGGAAATTTGACCTTGACTTTGACCCTGACTGTAGGTGTCTCTAGATATCAGTCCTTGTGACCCTGACTGTAGGTGTCTCTAGATATCAGTCCTTGTGACCCTGACTGTAGGTGTCTCTAGATATCAGTCCTTGTGACCCTGACTGTTGGTGTCTCTAGATATCAGTCCTTGTGACCCTGACTGTAGGTGTCTCTAGATATCAGTCCTTGTGACCCTGACTGTAGGTGTCTCTAGATATCAGTCCTTGTGACCCTGACTGTAGGTGTCTCTAGATATCAGTCCTTGTGACCCTGACTGTAGGTGTCTCTAGATATCAGTCCTTGTGACCCTGACTGTAGGTGTCTCTAGATATCAGTCCTTGTGACCCTGACTGTAGGTGTCTCTAGATATCAGTCCTTGTGACCCTGACTGTAGGTGTCTCTAGATATCAGTCCTTGTGACCCTGACTGTAGGTGTCTCTAGATATCAGTCCTTGTGACCCTGACTGTAGGTGTCTCTAGATATCAGTCCTTGTGACCCTGACTGTGGGTGTCTCTATAGATATCAGTCCTTGTGAACCAGGTTGCAGGTGTCTAACCAGACATCCTCATGACTGCGTGACCTTGGCTGTTGCGACGACATTAAACCTCATACAAGCAAAATTGAACTAGTTGGTAATTCGTTTCGTTGTTGTTTGATTTCACACGGAGACAGTGTAAGAGGATGATGGCGTCACTCCATGTTGTTTTTACAATGTATATATATATATGACCTGGACACAGTGGCTAGATATTTATTTTATATTGCTTAACGTTCTAACAACGGTTATGTTCATTAAAGGACGGCCTCTCAATGTGTGTAAGGTGAGTGTATGTGATGAGAGCGTGTGTAGGTGAGAGGGGTCTCCTTGTTATAGTGCAGAACTGAAGCCGTTAACTTTAAAGTGCTATCACACTGAAGCATACTTCCCAGCATGACATATCGTTCTGTGTCATTATACTGTCAACACTTCATGTCGCTACATAAATGTCTCCTTTACTGATGGCATACTTCCGCTCACATATCATTGGTATGGAGCACACTTCTTACATTCAGCATCACTCACTTTTTTCTTTTTTACCATAAATTTGATCATGTTGATTACATCTGGGATGATGATCACACTGATGGCCAACACCAGGAAAATGATGGCTGAACTTCCCAAGACCACACTACTAACACGGGATTCGTACACACTTATGAACTGACGTTTGTAAAGTGACGTACTGTTTTTCCTTACGATGAGCTGAGATCTAAGTCTCTGTATTGTATCCAGTAACTCCTCCTGTGTCATGCTGTTCACTGTTGTGGTGGGCGTGGCCTGAGATGTGGTTGTCAGTACAGTTGATGTTGCTGATGTTGGTGTTGTTGTTGTTGGTGGTGCTGTTGTTGGTGTTGATGTTGTTGTTGGTGTTGATGCTGTTGGTGTTGATGCTGTTGGTGTTGATGTTGTCGATGTTGTTGATGTAACGAGAGTTGAACTCTCTGTTGTTGATGTTCCTAATAAAACTGAAGATGTAGTAGGCGTGGTCTCTGTTGAAGTCGATGACGTCAGGTCAGGTGTAGCCGATGTTGTAACAGCGGTTGAAGTTGTTGTTGAAGGTACAGTTGTAGTCGTTGTCGTAGTTTTGCTTTCTGTTGTCACAACTCCTGAAAGAAAAAACAATAAAATACCTTAGTTGATCCATTGTATTTAGTTACGTCACGATGTTTAACTCTTTATTTAATATTATGATATGTCAGGCATTTTGTTTGTCCATTGGCAAACATGACGCTGTTTGTCGTGCTATGTAGAATGGGTTCTCATAGAACTTCATCCTCCGAGTCGAACACCTTGTCTAAATCGTTTACAATAGTTGTCCAAATTGGTTTCAATATAGGTTGGGGATGTGTTTAAATAAAAAATGACCATTGTGATGTCGGATTGACTGATAAAATGGTTGTAAAAAAACATTCAACTGAATAGCAACTTTTGATATAAAATAGATAAAGCAGCTGTTTCGTCCTTCTAGGACACCTCAGTGATGTTACATCATACAGCTGTTTCGTCCTTCTAGGACACCTCAGTGATGCTACATCATACTGCTGTTTCGTCCTTCTAGGACTCGTCAGTGATGCTTCATCATACAGCTGTTTCGTCCTTCTAGGACTCGTCAGTGATGTTACATCATACAGCTGTTTCGTCCTTAAAGAATTCGTCTGTGATGTTACATCATACAGCTGTTTCGTCCTTCTAGAACTGGTCAGTGATGTTACATCATACAATTGTTTCGTCCTTCTAGGACCCCTCAGTGATGCTACATCATACAGGTGTTTCGTCCTTCTAGGACCCCTCATTGATGCTAAGGGCCTACAGTTTGAAGCGAATGAGATAAACCTAATGTGATTGAAAGAAAAGCAGAAAGATAGATGGCGAGTAACACTAGCCCCAACATTCCATAAATTTCCGAATTTCATTGATCAAATAATTTCGGACGAAGAAAGGTACCGTGTATAACCTAGATAGCATTGTAAGTGGAATGAATTAGATATAAAATGATGTGACATAAATGATCAGTCGTAATTGATATTTCTGTATTACAACTTACCTCTTACATACAACTATATTACAGCTTACCTCTTACATACAACTATATTACAGCTTACCTTTCTCACATACAACTATATTACAGCTTACCTCTCTCATACAACTATATTACAGCTTACCTTTCTCACATACAACTATATTACAGCTTACCTCTCTCATACAACTATATTACAGCTTACCTTTCTCACATACAACTATATTACAGCTTACCTCTCTCATACAACTATATTACAGCTTACCTTTCTCACATACAACTATATTACAGCTTACCTCTCTCATACAACTATATTACAGCTTACCTCTCTCACATACAACTATATTACAGCTTACCTCTCTCATACAACTATATTACAGCTTACCTCTCTCACATACAACTATATTACAGCTTACCTCTCTCATACAACTATATTACAGCTTACCTCTCACATACAACTATATTACAGCTTACCTCTCTTACATACAACTATATTACAGCTTACCTCTCACATACAACTATATTACAGCTTATCTCTCTCATACAATTATATTACAGCTTACCTCTCACATACAACTATATTACAGCTTACCTCTTACATACAACTATATTACAGCTTACCTCTCTCACATACAACTATATTACAGCTTACCTCTCTCATACAACTATATTACAGCTTACCTCTCTCACATACAACTATATTACAGCTTACCTCTCACATACAACTATATTACAGCTTACCTCTCTCACATACAACTATATTACAGCTTATCTCTCACATACAACTATATTACAGCTTACCTCTCTCACATACAACTATATTACAGCTTACCTCTCTCATACAACTATATTACAGCTTACCTCTTACATACAACTATATTACAGCTTGCCTCTTACATACAACTATATTACAGCTTACCTCTCTCACATACAACTATATTACAGCTTACCTCTCTCATACAACTATATTAGAGCTTACCTCTCTCACATACAACTATATTACAGCTTACCTCTCTCATACAACTATATTACAGCTTACCTCTTACAAACAAATATATTACATCTTACCTCTCTCACATACAACTTGATTGGAATCTGTACATCCCTTTCGGTGCACCTTGCCATCTTTCTGATGCACGTGTATGCATTCGTCAACATCCCCGCACGTTTCGGGGAAGGACGTACACCACCAGTCTACGTCTGAGATGTGGAAACATCCTGTGGAAGCACATATCGTTGGCTGGTATTTGTGTCCTATCCAAAAGTTTCCATCCCTGTCAAACATAACCAGAGACAAATAAAAAAATATAATTTACGTAACATCGATAAAATCCTTACGATTCAAACATTTCTATGATTGATTTCCGAAGATTCCAAGAATATATTCTTCCCCGATCGCTGCCATGCTGATCTCCACGTCAACCAAATATAGTGGAATTGTGTTACAGTATAACAAGCAAATTTGTCAAGTCCTAATCACCATCTGTTAATAGTTGACATGTTATTTTCCTGTCGTTCCTTATAAACAAAGCATGACAACATGAACTACATTGAGCATGTAAACTATAGATAGCTTTAACTGCCATCCCAAGCTCGGGTTCTAACATGGTTTGGATTAAATGTAATTTTCCTATATAAACTTCTCTATCCATGAACAGCGTTCAACAGATTCTTTCCTATCGGATTGTTTAGTTAATCTCTGATTTATAAGTCAATTTTAATCCCATTTGGTCCCGCCAATAAGTCCTTGAGGAGGGGAATAGTTAAGATATGTATATCATCAAACTGTCATCTTATATTAATAATTTTACCACATTCACTATTTTACCCGTCCCCAAGGGTAAATTTGAGACCCTCGGGTTATAAAATATGAAATGTTGGTAACAAACCTTAAAACCCTTTCATCCACAAAGGACATTTGATTTCATTACATAGAAGTGTCGAGAAGACTTGAAAATTCAGTCAGTTTGAAGCTTGTTGGCCCCCCTACAATCTTGATTGACATTTTGAAGGTATTCGCGAAAATTTATAGATTTATAGGTTTTTTTAGCTGGCGAAATCGTTAAAAGTTTACAACAGAAGACCGACACCACATGACGTCGGGGTTATGCGATCGCAATAGAATCCAAAGAGGCTTCGTCTCAAACATGAAAAATATTAATTTAAAGCGTGTTTTGATATAAAACAACTTCTAGCTTTCGTTTCTCAAATACAAATTTAGCTCTCTGGACAGAGTCTTGGAGAGCTGTGGGAACGGTGGACGTTTTTGCCGGAAGTAGAATTATGGAAATTACGGAAATAACTTTAAATTATCCTAGATTGAGCTGAAGATACAGGGTACATGCAAATATGACCTAGAACCTATAGCAGAATTTTAGTTGCTTTATTTTTTTTTAGTTTACGAGTAGTTTTCTAAAACGTGATCTCACAGGAAAGTTTTGACCGATTGTTTGCACAAAAGTATATATGCATCGACATATCCCATACGCCTCCAGGGTGGGGTGGGGGTAAGGGTGTGGAGGATGGGGGGGGGGGGGTTAGGGGTGTGTGTGTGTGTGTGGGGGTCATATTACATTTTACTGACCTACAGACACGTGTCGTTTTCTCGCTGTTTTTGACTGGCAGTCTTTTACTTGATCTCTACCTTCGTGACCCCACGGTGTGATTAAACATAAAACATTTTGATTACTGAAAGGGGGGAGGGGGGAGGGGGGTTAGTATAAACTGAATATTCATAAAGATGGCGTTTATGTTGCTTTGAGTTGTTTAAATCCAATATGTGTTCCAGGGTCTATCGATCCATATTGATTACTGATCAGAATTAAACTGTAGATCTACGTTTGTGGTGATTTCTCATTAATTCTAAATAACAACAATACTTAAAGTCAAAAAAGATAGGATACAACAGGTTTTTTCAGGAATGTAATCACCACTTGAATATTCTATAATTAGCCCAGATAGCTGATTCGTGACAACTTTCTGTTTCATCAGAGATGTCGAGGTTTCTGGAACTTACCAACTACTGTAGTGTGTGGTTAGAATGTAGTATGGTTTATTACTAAGAAATTCCTACAATCACTCTATTTCATCGTCATTCAAACAAAATAATAGATCGTGGTCTTCATTGAGTGAGTTCTTCTGTAAACATTTCCTTTACAAATGAATCGGCGGTATGTGTGGGTCTCTCAACAACAACGATCATTACATTGTTTACACACAGTACGATACTTACTTCAGAGCTGACGTATAGAGGTCGTTCAGTTGGAAGTTGTCCCATTTTTCTTGAGTGTCAAACGCGATAAGCGTGCCGTTGTTTTCTCTACAGTACTGATCGGCTTCAGGGTACCCCATTTCAACACTAGTCATGAAGAATTCTGCTCCAAACACCAATCCCTCTAAAAAGTGAAATACGTAAATTACTGAATAAAAAATTCTACCTGTGTCTCACGAAATAATCTCCAGAAATTATTTAGGAAAGTCTCGAAATTTATTACCGCAAAAACGCATCAGTTTGCGGTATTAGCGGGAGATGGGATTAAATTATCCAAACACTGTAATATCGTTGTTTTACTGTTAAATGCTTTAATGTTTAATCATCAACATGTTTACAAGGACGATACATGATGGCAGCACTATAATTTGGATTTAAGTCACCACGAAAGCTCAGGTACATCTGTGTATAACATAACCTTTTATCAAGTTAAGGAACTCTTAAACTTAGCTTGGTCATATCTGGACATAATTTAGTATATTTTTTCGTTAATTGGTAACTCGTGCGACGGTTTTCAGAAAAAATTGTTTCTTCATCCATATTTTTTTCTGAGCATGTTTTGATAAGCCATGTAGGTATTAGCTTTGTTCCATTTGCTCCTAGCAGCGCTAAGAAGTGACTTATCTGTGTATTCTAAGGCTCTACAACAATGTACTGGTCAGTTTGTCAAGTGAGACTAGAACACAGCTATTATTCTGTACTAATTTATATTGTTTCGTACTAATTGATATTGTTTTGCACCAATTGATATTGTTTTGCACTAATTTATGCTTTTGTACTAATTCATGTTGTTCTGTACTAATTTATATTGTTCTGTACTAATTCATATTGTTTTGTACTAATTAATATTGTTATTACAAAGATGAGAAAATGTTTGCGAGATAGGTACGTAAAATTCTTTCTGGAGGAGATTTTTAGAGTCTTAAAAAACGATGTTTTTGACAACAATTGATATCTTGCATGACTTTTTTCGTTGTTAATTTCCACTATTTCTTTATAGTATTATCGTAGTTTTTCATATTAAACATCTTTGTCCGTTTCAGATTCATACTATAAAATTATACCAGGACAAAATAAGAACACAACTGATTTGATAATATTAATTCTAATACAGATTCTACAACACGCTACACTCATGTATGTTTGGTACCAATTTTGTCACAATCCATACTTTAAAAAATATAACAAAACGTTTTTATTGTGAATGAATTTAAGTTTAAGGATAATCCGGAGGGGACTCTATAAATTGTAATGGTCCCCTCCATATTTTTCTCCTTTAATTATATACACGATGACTCACTTTATATTTGACATTGATTTTTCCATGTATTAGTTATATACATATATATATGTGTGTGTGTGTGTTTCACAGAAACTCAGCAAATCTATTACCAAAGGGCGTGTCGAATGCCATTTTCATAACAGCAGGTTTCCGAAAGTATGAATGGACAGGAAACCACAATGTTGACAAAACGTAACCAGTGTTGATTCCACCATTTAAAAAAAACTGCCATGAACGAATTGGCATATGTACATTTTTTTCAAAACAGCTGTATGACGCAGTTTAATTCATGGTTTGGCTCCACTGTATCTAACTGTTCATTTCTATTTAAAATGTGCTATTCATCTGAGTGTCCTTTGTGCTCTCATTAAACAGTGCAGGTTCTTTTTCTAAAATTCTGTTCATTTGCCAATTCAGTATGCTTCTAAAATGTGTTTTCAGATTATCAAATATATCAATTATGGAACTAGTGCGCCAACCTCTATTTTGACTTTTTCTCGAGATCATTTTAAATTTAGACCCTGAGCGTCACTGAAGTGTCCTATAAGGATGATACATCTGTATGGCGCAACTCTACTCATTGTTTTGTTCTACTTTATCGAACCCTAAATTTGCTGGAAAAGGTGCTATTAGACTGTATGTATATGATGATGTCAATTTTAAAATATTTAAATAACCGTAAAGCTGTTCACTTAATATGATTTTCAAATATTGACAGAAATGTAAAAGTGTTGTTATTGTAATTTTAAGCTCGGTTTTCACGAAACGAGTATTAAACAGTACTGGGAATGTGTCAATTTGGCGTGTTTATGTGAGCCAGCAAATTGAAATGATCCGGAAATGTCTTTTATTGAAATAGTTGAAAACGACTAATTTTGTGCACGGATTTCTCTTACCATGCTTAACGTCCTTACAACAGCCATGGTGATGAGGACGGGAATAATGAAGGACATTAACAGCCAGGGTTATGGGGATGGGTGTCAAGAGGGGAGTCAACAGCCAGGGTCATGGGGACGGGTGTCATGAGGGGCAACAGCCAGGGTCATGGGGACGGGTGTCAAGAGGGTCAAGAGGGGAGTCAGCAGCCAGGGTCATGGGGACGGGTGTCAAGAGGGGAGTTAGAAGCCAGGGTCATGGGGACGGGTGTCAAGAGGGGAGTCAGCAGCCAGGACCATGGGGATGGGTGTCAAGAGGGTCAAGAGGGGAGTCAGCTGCCAGAGTCATAGGGACGGGTGTCAAGAGGGGAGACAGCAGCCAGGGTCAAGGGGACGGGTGTCAAGAGGGGACACAGCAGCCAAGGTCATGGGGACGGTGCCGATGTCAGTCAGTACAGATGGTTCACAGTGCCGATGTCAGACAGTACAGGTGGTAGACAGTGTCGATATCAGACAGTACATGTGGTAGACAGTGCCGATGTCAGACAGTACAGGTGGTAGACAGTGCCGATGTCAGTCAGTACAGGTGGTAGACAGTGCCGATGTCAGACAGTACAGGTGGTAGACAGTGCCGATGTCAGACAGTACAGGTGGTAGACAGTGCCGATGTCAGTCAGTACAGATGGTTCACAGTGCCGATGTCAGACAGTACAGGTGGTAGACAGTGTCGATATCAGACAGTACATGTGGTAGACAGTGCCGATGTCAGACAGTACAGGTGGTAGACAGTGCCGATATCAGACAGTACAGGTGGTAGACAGTGCCGATGACAGACCAGTACAGGTGGTAGACAGTGTCGATATCAGACAGTACAGGTGGTACACAGTGCCGATGTTAGACAGTACAGGTGGTAGACAGTGCCGATGTCAGACAGTACAGGTGGTAGACAGTGCCGATGTCGGACAGAACAGGTGGTAGACAGTGCCGATGTTAGACAGTACAGGTGGTAGACAGTGCCGATATGAGACAGCACAGGTGGTAGACAGTGCCGATGTCAGACAGTACAGGTGGTAGACAGTGCCGATGTAAGACAGCACAGTTGGTAGACAGTGCCGATGTTAGACAGTACATGCGGTAGACAGTGCCGATGTCAGACAGTACAGGTGGTAGACAGTGCCGATGTCAGACAGTACAGGTGGTAGACACTGCCGATGACAGACCAGTACAGGTGGTAGACAGTGTCGATATCAGACAGTACAGGTGGTAGACGGTGCCAATGTTAGACAGTACAGGTGGTAGATAGTGCCGACGCAGACAGCACAGGTGGTAGACAGTGCCGATGTTAGACAGTACATGTGGTAGACAGTGCCGATGTCAGACAGTACAGGTGGTAGATAGTGCCGATGTTAGACAGAACAGGTGGTAGACAGTGTTGATGTTAGACAGTACATGTGGTAGACAGTGCCGATGTCAGACAGTACAGGTGGTAGACAGTGTTGATGTTAGATAGAACAGGTGGTAGACAGTGTTGATGTTAGACAGTACAGATGGTAGACAGTGTTGATGTTAGACAGTACAAGTGCCAGACAGTGCCGATGTCGGACAGTACAGGTGGTAGACAGTGCCGATGTTAAACAGTACAGATGGTTCACAGTGCCGATGTCAGACAGTACAGGTGGTAGACAGTGCCGTTGACAGACCAGTACAGGTGGTAGACAGTGTCGATATCAGACAGTACAGGTGGTAGACAGTGCCGATGTTAGACAGTACAGGTGGTAGATAGTGTCGATGTCAGACAGTACAGGTGGTAGACAGTGCCAATGTTAGACAGTGCAGGTGGTAGATAGTGCCGACGCAGACAGTACAGGTGGTAGACAGTGCCGATGTCAGACAGTACAGGTGGTAGACAGTGCCGATGTCAGACAGTACAGGTGGTAGACAGTGCCGATGTCAGACAGTACAGGTGGTACACAGTGCCGATGTCAGACAGTACAGGTGGTACACAGTGCCGATGTCAGACAGTACAGGTGGTAGACGGTGGCGATGTCAGACCAGTACAGGTGGTAGACAGTGTCGATGTTAGACAGTACAGGTGGTAGACAGTGCCGATGTTAGACAGTACAGGTGGTAGATAGTGTCGATGTCAGACAGTACAGGTGGTAGACAGTGCCAATGTTAGACAGTGCAGGTGGTAGATAGTGCCGACGCAGACAGTACAGGTGGTAGACAGTGCCGATGTGAGACAGTACAGGTGGTAGACAGTGCCGATGTCAGACAGTACAGGTGGTAGACAGTGCCGATGTCAGACAGTACAGGTGGTAGACAGTGCCGATGTCAGACAGTACAGGTGGTAGACAGTGCCGATGTCAGACAGTACAGGTGGTACACAGTGCCGATGTCAGACAGTACAGGTGGTAGACGGTGGCGATGTCAGACAGTACAGGTGGTAGACGGTGGCGATGTCAGACAGTACAGGTGGTAGACGGTGGCGATGTCAGACAGTACAGGTGGTAGACAGTGCTAGCGGACATATGTCCTCGAAGTTGTCGTGACATTCTTACCACGTTTTAATGTATTTTGTATGTAGATTCAAGGTAATCTTCTATAGGTTGTCGTCTTTGCGTTAAACAAATATTAAACACATTGAATTTTTTTATTCTTACGACCCAAGGCTATATATCTTTTCTAATCAATCTTTGTATTCAGAGTAAATTCATTTATCGATTTGAAAGTCTATTTTTCCAAAACTTTTTGGCTTTTTCTGAAAAATTTAGAATTTTATATATTTAGAAAGTAGGACTACAATGGTTTTGAGACGGCGTTGGAAAAATGAAAGACACTTGGGAATACGGCACCTAAGATTCAATATTGACAGAACAAATGTTAAATGTTTAAAGCTGTCACATCAAGTTTATTTGTTTAGCTTTCAATAACCTTTCATGTGAGTAGATATACAAGTTGTTTAACTTACACCGGAATGACACGACTTGTTATGATAATCTAATGATATGTCTTTCCAGTCATCTGACAATAACATCAAAATGATTCTGGCGGTTTTTGGTCACCATTTTAAGGCAATTTATACAAATATACAAGTGTGATAGCATGTGTACGTAGTTTAAGGTAATACTAAACTTGGGCGTATCCAATCAATGGTTTATCCGTAATTTTATATTGGTGCTGCATGTAGTGTATAGTATTGAATAATGTGGTTAAATATTTATTGACAGACGAGTCCCCTGTCAGTATATGTAATAATATTTCTTTTTTTTTTTTTGACGTTAATATTGTTCATGGCCGACGAACAACCATCACCGGCCTCGTCATCCGTGAACGTCGTCATCGATGGCGTAACAATGGCGTCCTGATATGGGTAGGTGAAGCAGAATAGAAACCGGATCTCTACGTTACCGTGAACAGTCATTTTACTTTATTATAACGTGACATATAAATAATACATGGACACGATTCAGTTCCTATCGTTGATGTCATTAACCAAGATCTTTATCTGTCCGTTATCTGGAACGAATCAATATAAACAGTAGTTCATTATCATTTCATTTCTATGGTTAGTCCTACAAATAAGGGGAATCTTGTGATTTGTTGGTATGGCCGTAAGAGGCAGTTCAACCTGGAATCGTTCAAAACACTCCCACTAGCCGTGACACAGCCAACATACGCTCGTTTTATATATGTGTGTACATAAATTGTCTTTGGCAGTGACAGAAAAATGCATTGTTGTGGGTGATACAGAGATACAGAGATATACAAGGGAAAACAGAACGATTATTTCAAACATTGAGAACAATAAAAGTGATGATTATAAATTTACTATTAATTTTTTTAATTTCTACTCAAGATGGACTCATGCATGCTTCATTTGTCCACGAATTCAACCCAGTTAATATTGATCTAAGCGTATGAGTACATCCTTTACATATTCTATATGGGGGAAGAACCATGGCACATGTTTGATACTAAACTTTAAATAAAAGTTATCGAATTTGCTCGAGATCTGCAGAATATATATTGATAAAAATAAATGTTATGTATAACGATAGTTGAATCAATATAATATGGCAGTATGTTTTTTTCTGTTTTTTAACATCTGATTGCCAAATTCTGTCGTCAGTTTCAATTAAAAAAAAAAATTTCCACTATCTGGTAAAGATAATCTACAAGACCAAGAACGTCTACTGAGCGATACAGAAATGTTTCTTGACTAAGTTCCTGATACCATGAATACATAGACTACTG